GATAAATTTAAGGATGTTCTCCAATCCATTTGTCAATAATACCACTGACATTCTGATACCTATAAGTCCCTTTGCTTTTTTCTTTTAATTATTATTGGTGAACCCAGGAGGGAAATAAATAATTACCTCCAGACTAGATTGCCTACAATTTCAAATCCCCTTCTAGACCAAATATACTTGCAATACTATTCATCTTTGATTCCTAAATACCTAGCATAGGTCCTGGCATGTAAGAAAAGGTCAGTGAATATTTATTAAGTACATTTTCCTGAAGGATAATATATATACAGTAAAATGCATAAATGTTAAAGGTAAAGTCTATTGCATTTTTAAAAAAGATTTTATTTATTTATTTTTGCATGGAGCTGGGGTGCAGGTCAGAGGTGTGGGGAGGTGAGAAGAGTCACCAGAGACAAAGTGGAGAACAGAACAGGCAGGTTTACTGAAATACACTGCTGAGGGGAGCAGTGGGTTAGCTCTCTGGCTGGGCATCAAACTCAGGCCATTGCAGTAGTAGTGCTAAAACTTAACCAAGTCTATTGAATTTTAACTCAAATATGCACCTTTGTAACCACTATCCCATTCAAGTTACAGACTATTGCTATCCTAGAAAATTTTCTCTTGCTTCTTCCAATCAATATCCCCTTTTTGCCAGAGATTACCATTTTTCTGATTTTTATTACCATAAACTAGTTTTTTTTTACTTCATATAATTGGAATCATATGGTGTTTATTTTCCAATTTGCATTTTCATATAATACAATGTTTTTGAGATTTAGTCAGGTCACTCCACCTATTACTATTTTTTTCTCTTTTTCTGCTTTTGTATGGTATTCCATCTGAATATACCAAAATTGTATGACTTATTTATCCATCCACTGTTTATAGACATTTGGGTTATTTCCAGTTTTGACTATTCCAAATAGATCTGCTGTGAATATTCTCGTACAGTTATTTTTGTATACACATATTTAATTCTCTTGCATATGCAAGGAGGAGTCGAATTCCTGGGTTGTATGGTAGCTCTATGCAGACTGTATAAAACTGACAAACTCCTCACCAACACTTGCTACTCTCTTGTCTTTTTAATGTTAGGTATTCTGGATATGTAGCAATATCTCATGGTGGTTTGAATTTGCATTTTCCTAATGGAATAAAAATGACGATCTATTTGCATATTTATAGGCTATTTCCTATCTTTGTCAGGAGGTTTTCGACTTTGGCTGATTCTTAGAGTTACCTGGGCCTGCACCTGAGGTTTCAGACTCAATAAGTGTGAGACAGAGTTGGGTCATTAGCAGGTTTTGTAAAATTTCCACCTAACGTTTAATTATAGCTTGTGGTAAGAAGCATGTATTTACATATTTTTAAAAATTGGGTGTTTTTCTTTTGAAAATTCACTACTAGGAATTCTTCATATGTTGTGACTCCTTTATATGTAAGTGAACCTTTTGTCAGATAGATCTATTGCAAATATTTTTCCCATTCTGTAGTTTGACCTTTCACTTTCTTAGTGGCTGCTGAATAAATGGAAACTTTTTTTTTAATCAACAGGGAATGATTATTTAATAAGGCAGTAAAAAAATATCATTTGGAAAGTGAAAAAATCTTCTTAGAAAGAGAAGAATTACTTGTTAATTTACCTGTTTTGGAAAAAATGGATTTTCTATGCCTGATTTTCTTAAAGTAGAAAGTATCACTAGATGGGGTTTATGGGTAGTGTAAACTTTGCTACAGGCTAGATATGGTGGGGAAATGAGAGATTATTGCTACAGATCAGTGGTTTGCAGCACTGGCTGATTCTCAGAATTACCTGGGAACCTTAAAGGCCCTGCACCTCGAGTTTCAGACTTAATCAGCATGGGAAGTGACTTGGGCATCAGCAAATTTCACAAAATTTCCAGATAATTTTCCATTGTAGTCTGGGTTGAGAAGCATGGCTTAAGTGGTTACTAAGATTTGAGGTTAAGAGTCTGGAAGTAGGGTAGGAAAACAGTATGATTTTTCAGAGAAATAGTAGGAGTTTATGCATAAATCCTCTCAAAGATAGAGTGTCTTAAGGAACGTTTAGTTTCCTTTAACAGAAATCCACTCAGGTAAAACAAAAGCGGGCAGAAAAAGAGGTTAAGGGCCTCCCTGGTGGCGCAAGGGGTTAAGCACAGCACTGTGAAGCTAGCTACAGCCTCTGCAACATGAGTTTGATCCCTGGAGGGCCAATGCTCTAACCCACACCCCCCGCCCCCCCCCCCCCCCCCCGCACCTCTGGCCTGTACGCCAATTCTGGTATGCATAAATAAATAAATCTTTAAAAAAAAAAAGAGGTTAGGGCCTCCCCTGGTGGCACAGCGGTTGAGAGCTGGGTTGCAAAGCTGTCCGCAGCCTCTGCAGCGCTGGTTCCATTCCTGGCCACCGGGGGAGGGTCCCACATGGCGCGCAAACCTCTCCTGCTTCCCGCTGCTCCCCTCAGCAGTGTACTTCAGGGTCCTTCTGCCTGCTCTGCTCCCTGCTCTGGCTCTGGTGAATTCTCTCACCCTCCCGCGCTTCTGACTGTACCCAGTGCATGTATAAACAAAACAAACAAATGAATAAATAAATAAATCTTAAAAAAAAAAAAGAGGTTAAGCATTTGTGGAAGGATCTAGGGGGTATATATCATAGCATCTAAGGAGAGTAGAACTAGTATGTCTCAAGAAATCATCATCTAGGGCCTCCCCTGGTGGTGCAGCGGTTGAGCGCCATGCTGTGTGCAGCTGTCTGCAGCCTCTGCAGCATCGGTTCAATCCCAGCCCACCTGCGAGGGTCCCAAATGGTGCGGCAGACCTCTCCTGTCTTTCCCACTGCTTCCCTCAGCAGTGTATTTCGTCAGTCTGCCTGTTCTGTTCCCTGCTCTGTCTCTGGTGAATCCTCACACCCTCCCACGAATCTGGCCTGTACCCCAGTTCTTGTATAAATAAATAAATAAATATTTTTTAAAAATTAAAAAAAAAAAAAAGAAATCATCGTCTAAGGCAGCTTTGGTGGTTTTTATCCACTTAATGAACCAGCCTTAGATGAAGACCCATGACTCTCAGTCTTCTTATCCATCAATCCACATCCTCCAGAGTGCATTCTAACTGGCCAGAAGTGATGAGTGAATTGAATTTCCCAGAGGTTAAGTGTTCACCTGGTCTAGTCAACTGTGTCAGAATGCCACAGATACATAATCATTATCACTACAGGAACCCACTTCTCTCTCTGTGTTTCAGGGGGGAGGCAGGAGGGAAGAGTTCTCAAAGCTAGTGAGTGTGGGCTGAGTAGGCACCCAACAAAGAATAGGCTAATTCAGAAATATAAAAAAGAAGGATATGGTGCTCGCTTCGGCAGCACATATACTAAAAAAAGAAGGATATGTTAGAATATGTGGCATTATCAAGAACTTTTTTTTTAAAGATTTATTTATGCATACCAGCACTGGGGCACAGACCAGAGGTGTGAGGGGTGAGAGGATTCACCAGAGACAGAGTAAGGAACAGAACAGGCAGATTGACTAAGGGGAGCAGTGGGCAGGAGAGACAGGAGAGGTCTGCTGTGTCATGTGGGTATCTCCCTGGCTGGGGATAGAACTCATGCTGCAGGGCTGTGGATAGCTTCATAGGTTGCATCTTAACCCCTTGTGCCACCAGGGAGGCCCCTTATCAACAACCTTTCAATTCTCCATTCATCCATTTTGTTATCTCAACTTGGCTTTCCCTTCTGTCCTTAGCCACAGTCCTTTAGATTGTCTTTCTTGCAGCCCATTATTTTGAACAAAGAAAATTTAAACTGACTCAACATTTATTTTTTATTTTTTTTTAAAGATTTATTTATCTATTTATACAAGCACTGGGTATAGTCAAATGCAGGGGAGGGTGAGAGAATTCACCAGAGCCAGAGTGGGGAGCAGAACAGGAAGAATGATGAAATACACTGCTGAGGGGAGCAGCGGGCATGGCAGGAGAGGTCTGCGCGCCACGTGGGACCCTCGCCTGCCAGCCGGGGATCAAATCGTCGGTGCAGAGGCTGCGGGCAGCTTTGCAGCCCAGCGCTAAACCTCTGCGCCACCAGGGAGGCCCAGACTCAACATTTATAACAAAAAAAGGAAAAAAAACACAGCTGAGGATTAAAACTCCTGCAAAGTAATATATTCATACATACATATTGAAAACCTACTATCATGATTTGGCTATTTCCTATTTTGTATTATTTGTTCCCCTATTCATTTACATGTACTTTGCGGGGGGTCCTTGCTGCCCCTGCCAGATAAGACACTGGCAAGCAGCTAAGAAAAAGGGCCTCACACCATGGGGCTGAAGATTCCTTGTGCCTCACACCATGGGGCTGAAGAATAAACATCCTTTTGTTTTTTGTTCTTGGTCATATAAGAAAAAACTTCTCAGAAAGTACATTGGGCAATAAATCATACATATAGAATACTGTAAGTAGATGGCACAAAAAAATACCTGCTTGAAAATTAAACACTGTAAATTGGTCTGCCTGATAATGGGAAAGAAATTGTTATACATGAACATGCCTGACAAGCAACCCAGGACAACCATTATAGTAAGTCCTTCTTTTGCTTTTTTTAGAAGTTTCTTAGGAAAGTTTTTAAATGAAGTTAACTGTGTTTAGAAGTTTTTAGGTAGAAAACTCTGTTAGCTGACAACCAGAAAGCAGCTGGTCTCTGGCTGAAGGCCATAGAATAGAAGAGTCTTTTGATGCTTAGTCTTTAGCTGATAGGAGTGTACTGACAGCTATCAACTGTGTTAGGTAATTGTCTAGCTGCAATAATGAGTTTTAGTGTAAGGCTTAGTTTTTTTGCTATTAACCTTGAAGGCTGCCTTCTTGGTGAGAGCACATAGCAGCCAAAAGTCTATGGAAAAAGAATGCACTGATTGCTTCTGCTTTGCTTCCATATGATGACGTAATCTCACTACTTGCCTTAGTGTATAAATAAAGACCCCCTGAAACCCTCAGGAGGAGATACTAACACAAGGCATTTTGTGTGTCTGCCTCACTCCTCAATTGCGCCGATGCCGTCCCATCCTTCAGGAACCCTGACACCCAGTTTGCTGAGGCTGGTCTTTGGCAAGTGGCGCCTGAACAAGGACCTGACAGGTAAGTAATTTTTTGTACTGAGAATTTTGGAGATTTCAGGGTACAGCTAGGATCTGCTCAAAGGTACTGGGACCCCTCCATAGAGATAGACGGAGTGAGAGGAGCAGTAATTCAGAACTAATAAGACAAGTGGGTGTCTTATTTTGAGAAGTTATGTGCCATAAAGAGTTTAAGGAAATGAGGCTTTTTATAGATATTATTAAACACATGCTTGTTAAAAGAGGAATAAAAACCTCACATGTACAATTGGCTAATTTCCTAAATTTTGTTGAAATGTGTTGTCCCTGGTTTCCCAGGGAAGGGAGTTTGGATGAAAAAACATGGAGCAAGGTGGTGACTGCCTCTGGTCTCAGCAAGCAGCTGCCTGGACTTTTTCTCCAGTGTTGAGATCACTGGCCAGTCTCTATTGCCTTCCTGCTGTGGGGGACTGAACTCTTCTATTATCCACCTTAAAAAACTATTTTGGTTCATTCTAGGAAAAAAGTTCTATTTCCCTGTGTTTTTCTGATTTTAAAGTCTAGATTGTCTAAGGTAAAAACTGCTGAGTTACTTTGGACTTGCTAACAAGCTATCCAGAATGCTTACTGGTGAAATAAAAGCTTTTAAATTTACTTATTAGACCTGTAAAAGGTTAAGTTTCTTGTTAAAACTAACTAAACTGGTAAAATATAAAGTGGTAATACAGACATTTTTGAGCTAAATACTAAGCCTCAGGTTTTTATAAAAGCCTAAAAACAAGCAGACTGACTGAAATTTACCTCTTCTCCTGTTCTCAAGATAACAGTGTTCTTCTTTGTTTTAAAATATGCTCATTCTCAATGAGATAAAGTGCTGACAACCTAAAGCCAAAGAATCATTTCTTTAAAATATAAACTCAAAAAATATTTTCTTATCTAAAAAAGTTAGTAAAAACTGCCGTGAGTGTTGTGGTCTCGAGCCCAAGGTCTTTGGTAATAATTAAGATTAGACACTTATTCTCAGTACAGATTTTAGCTTTTAACTCATTACAAACCTCAGTATCTTCACACATATTGGTAAAATAACTATCTGTTAAAATATATACACATGGCCAAAATTTTAAATGTATATCAAGAGATCTCTTTGTCTGTTTGTGTCTGTTTTTGTTTTTTACCTCTAGAGGACTAATTATAAATGGCGCCTATATAAGTTCTTATAAAAACAAATTTTGAGATCATGATCCAAAATTTTTAATAAACAAGAACTAGTTCAAATTTTATGATATCATTCAAAGCATATATGCCTTAAGGTTATAATGTTAAATATTAATAATCTACTATATAATAATTTACTTATATATGTAAATTTTTTTGTCATATTAACTTTACCAAGAGGAACCAAGCCATACTGTTTTTAAGTCAATTTTAAAAACTGCAATGTTTAAAGTAGCATTTTGGGGTGGCAAACACACAAAGCACCTCCTGTGTTCTGGACTACTGAAAGGAAACCACCATCATGATTTGTTGAAAGTTTTAGTGGTGTCTGAAGAAAAGAGGGAGAGCAATTGATGACTGATAGTAAGTAAAATAAGAAGGAAAGGGAGAGTAGTTTTGTCTTAAAATTAAAATGTCTGGTTGTGCCAGAATGTGGAAGAATAGAGAAAAAGCTAAAATTGAGGGTATGTAGTAAGTTGTAGAAGGTTTGAGGGGAAGTGAATTTTATTTACCTTGGTTTATAAAACCTGCAAATAATGGGTTTGAAGAGAAACAATGATATGTGTTGGAAATTTGACTGTATTGCATTATTTGATCAATTTATTCATATGATGGAAAAAAGACTAATTAATACTGCAGCCTGCTTTCATGCAACCACACAGGCCATTTCAGTAAAAATTACCCTCAGGAATCAGAAATTGCTTCAAGAGAAACTAATTCTCCTAATGCTGCAGCTCCTCCTAAAACCTTATGTTCCCAGCTTTAAAAAAATTAAGTTATGTACATATCTCTGTAGACACCTTTTCTCATTCAATTATGGCTACAGCTTGGATGGGAAAAGCCTTTAAAGACGTGTCTCAACATTTAATGTTTTGCTTTACTTATACAGAAAAGCCTAAGGCTATTAAGACAGATAATGTACCTGCTTACACCTGCTCTGCCTTCAAAAAATTTTTTAATTCATTTAATTTTTGGGAAAGGCTATGCTTGTATTTTTCTACAGGACACTGATTCACCCATCTGCATCCCCATAGACTAATCCAATGCTTTGGTTTCTCCTTTCGCCGATTGTGTCTTGAGGAGTCACAGACCAGTCCGACTTCATCACCAACTTCTGCCACGCTGTGCAACAACCCACCTCCCTCTGCTCCCTTATGTGAAACCTTGCTTTTTGATTTAAATAGTGCTTGGGATCATGTAGACAAATTGTTTATCAACCTCCTTATTTTATACTGCCTGTAGATCTAGAGAAATATTGGTATAATAATTTTGGTATTTATGCTCTTAGATAAAAAATTTAAGATTCGCTTAAATGTTCTAGAAGAGACACTTTTGTATATTGGTAATCAAATTCAGCATATCAAAACTCGCTTGACCACTACATGTCACTCTGATTACAAATGGATTTGTGTTACTCCACTTGTTTATAATTCTTCCTCTGTTTCATGAAATAATGTTAAAAATCATCTGCTAGGAGTTTGGAATAATACAAATACTTCCTTAGATCTTACTAATCTTCAAAATGATATTAAAGCAATTAGTTTAGCTTATGTATCCTCTTTAACTCCTGCCGAGATGGCTGATTCCTTCTTGGCCTCCTTACAACATTATACCACTTAGGCCGCCTGGTTCCCATCATTTATTGCTATAGGTATTATTTTGCTTGTCACCATGATTATTTTGTTTCTTTTCCCATTGTTTACCAAATTACTTTTTTGTGCCATCAACCAAACACGTATTGAATTAAAAACTATACAGATGTTGGCCAAAAACAAAAAAAGGGGGGAATTGTGGGGGTCCTTGCTGTCCCAGCCAGATAAGACACTGGCAAGCAGCTATTGTCTTCAGCAATACTCCTTCCTCACTCCAGGCCATCTGTGTGAAATGTAAAGCCTTATACTTTTGTTGAAGGAAAGAGAGATCCATATATATAACCTACTTAAGAACTACACTGTACATAGGAAGTTCATAAGAGGGGAATGGGTGGTTATTACATCCCTATTAATAGAAAAGTGGAGTTCAATCTGGAGTCAATTTCTGAAGTGGTTTATAGTTTCTATTCTTATATTTAAAAACTTTCAGAATAATTTTTTAGCATTTCCTCATATACAACATACAGTTTTTAAACTGCTTTTTGCTCTCCTCTGAGGATGTATTTTTTTATATAGGTATTAAAAAGACAATAATAAATTTAGAGATCTAATTGACTTTATTATATGATTCATGAATTGATCAACATTCTTTCTAGTTCCTGCAAGGGATTATACAAAATGGCATTTATAGACAGAAAGAGACAATGTATTTAGCAAAAGAAGAGATTATTTCAAGTAAAGCAACCTTCCTCTGGGGGAAAGAAGTAGCTTTGTCTTATGTAGATTACATCTCTGGTGTTCTTTGGGAAACTCCAAATTGATTGGTTTAGGATATACTGTTGGCAGAGGTTGAAACTGCAGTGAAATTAAGTATTAAGTTTTGGTAGGGGTCTACCTGTCATTTGATCTTTGCTGTCATATTGTTATGCTATGCTTTTTATTTTGTAACTTTTCAAATATTTTACTGTGGATTTTTGTTTGGTTTTTTGTAGTCGTGTCTCTGTGTTGACATGAAAAGTTTGTAGTTTCATTCTGAGTGACAGTAATGATTATAATATTACATAATGTCATTAATCATTTTTTTTTAGATGGCTTCTTGACTCCCTATTGTGTCTCCTTTCCCCTCTTTCCTCCTTTTATTAATCATTAGGTTTTAGTGGTTAATATGTTCTTTTGTACTAAGATACACATTTAAATTTCTATTTATTAGCTTGAAATATTTTATGCCCAATTATACATATGAAAAATCATATTTATACAAAGTCCATTCGTCTTTCCTCCAAACTTCTGTTTGCATCATTTTTAATTGTTGTACTTTATAACATTTTCGTTTTCTGGAGCCCTAATCTCTTTATCTGTTGTTCCCCTAGTTGTGCACTTGATCCAAAGCTTGTGGTCAATACTTCTGCAGAGCGTCCCTATTCATCCTGTCCATGGTGATTTATTATCAGTTCTTTGCACATAGATGAATGGTATTGAATGAATAAAAACAAAGGATTAGGGGGGATTCTCCTTATCTTTCCTACCAGAAAGGAGTTGGCTCCCCAAAAAAGTATCCTTCCACGGGTTCTCCTTCACACCACGTTCTCCAAACATGCAGAAATTTCACAAACTTGAGCCGCTGCGACACCTTCTGGTGGAAGCGGAAGGGCGCTGCAGTGCGATCCTCCTACCGGCAGAGGGCGCTGCGGCCAGAAGCCCACAGAGCAGGCTCAGGCTTCCCCGCTCTCTCGGCCGCACGCGCGTCTGACCCTGCGCCGGCGCGCGCCCTGCGGCCTCAGCGTAAGGGTTGGCGCCGGCTGCGGGTCTGGCCCTCGCGGCTACTCCGAGCGCGCCCAGCCCGCCGTCTCCGCGGCGCCTCGGCCCGGGAGCGCCGCCGCGGCCCATGGGGAGAGTCGGCCGGGCGGGCCGGGTAAGTGGCGGCGGAAGCGGTCGGCCTGGCGGGGGAACGGGGCGAAGCGCCCCCGGGGGCGGCGCTAGACGCGAGGCCGCGGCTTTAGGCCGCGTCGCGAGGGGCAGGAGGTCCCGGACCGACCCCCTCGAGTCGCCGGTGCCCGCATCTCCGGGCGGCCCCTGACCCGGCGCCGCGCCGGAGCTTTCGGGTTTCCTTTATTGGCTTGGGATCATCAGCTCCTCGGAGTCGTCCCCTCTTCTCCCGGATCCCCCTTTTCCCGTGTGTTCCGTCTCTTGCTCCCGAGAATGTGTTTCTCCTTCCCTGGGATGGCCTTGGTTTGAA